GCACTTCAATAGTTACGCGCACGTTATTATCATCAGCTCAAAGGGTTCATTATTTTTAAATATAAATGCCAGGTGAGCTCTCGAGACAAAGTGAAACCACTCATGCTTTAGACGACCTTGTAAACAACTACAGGGCACAGGGTAGATTCTGCTCTTCTAATTGGCTTTGTGGCTGTTCATCAAGATGATGAAAAAAATTGTTTAAGCTCAGGTCAACCATGGCTCATTACTATATGTATACATTATTACGGTGTAATGTTTTAATTTTTGTAATGTATCTCTGTAAATCAATAGCACTAAGTCTTGCTCCGCCTTTTGGTACCCTTTTGTTGTGCTTCGAAAGGGTACCCTAAAAGTGGTATGGTACGGTTCACTTTTGGTACCTTTTGACAGTGGAAACAACCAAACCATACCGTAACACTCAGTGGAAACGGGTCAAAAAAGTGCGGTTATAATGACTATCCAACAAGCTAATCCAGCTAAAAATAGTGCTTTAAATGTCACCAAAATGCAGTGTTTAAAACTCCTAATTAAATAAAACATGAGGCGAATAACTGCAAAAAGGTCCACTTTTTGAGAAAAAGGAATCACCCTTTTCACCAGGCTGGCTACGGGTCTGCACTTTAACTATAGCAGCTTACATTGGCACCAGTCTTACCTAATTTTCTCTTTACCATTTTATTTCTTCTATTGCTTTCATTGGCAATACCATAAACAATGTAAAAAAAAAAAAACACCCCCGCAGTGGTGAAACACAATCAGTAGCACAGTCACGCTCCGCTGATAGCTCATCCAAACATGGAGACAAGATGTCTGACATAAGCCGAGACAGAGTGTGTTTGTCTCTATGCCAGAGACTCTGTTCTGCTTTTCTAGAGTGAAAAAGAGTGAGAGCATTGTTATACAAAACCCTCCGATTTAGCTAAAGCTTTGAAACGGGCATTTTTGGAAATGGGAAAACATGAATAATGTGTCTCTCATCAAGCCGCCCCTTTGCCAGACGCTGCTGGCTTTACACCAAGCCATCAACTCAACAGAGTCTTCTCATCCCGGGACAGTCAAGCGTGCAATTACTACCACTCATTAAATACAAGAGGCCAGATCTGTGAAGATCATTATGCGTGATAGCATCCAGACACTGCACCCATAAAGCCTCATCGGGTCCCTCCGGCCAAAAGAGATCCGCTTAATGTTTGCCCTGAATTGCAGCACAAATAAGCACACTTCTGCGGCACCTGAGAGTACACAGGCACATCCATCCAGTTACAATTAGGGTCAGCAGCCCCTGTTCTTTGTAAACCCTTAAGCACGTTGCATCTGTCTGAGGGAAGAGAGTTAGTTTGGACAGATTTAGATTGATGACCGTGCATGGTTAAAGCTCTCGAGAGTTTGACCACAGCAGCATTGGAGTAATCCAGCATGGGAAGTGAAGTGATCCGCAAAACCCCATGGCTACAGCTCAACTCTTTAACCTCCTGTTGCATAGAAGCCCTGCTTGACAAATAAAGCACTGTTATTGTTATGCAACTGTAATAGAAGTGGTCATTAAGTTGTTTGGATGGTAATGATGGCTGTAATCTTTTATATGAGTCAGATTATTGCAGACAAGTTAAACTCTTTAGTGTTACTTTGATGTGTAATTTGAAGTGCATTAGTGTGTAGTTTGGGGTGTAGTTTAAAGACTAGTTTTCTTTGTTTTCAGTTAATCTTTCTGCTGTTCCACTAACTGTCACTGATTCATTTATTGAATCAGTTAGTTCAAAGACTGATCATAGACTAAACTGATTTATTTAAACTCTCTGATTCAGTTGGAGATGAAGCATTTTTTTTTGAGTGAGTCGTTGAATTATTCACTTAACCAGTTTTCTCAAACTCAGATTCATTCAGAAATAAGCAAGTAAGTGTCTGTTTGAGTTAAGTTTTATATGCAAACATTTTGTTTAGAACACTGATTTATTTAGGATTGAAGAACAACAGTACACTTGAATTATTGCGTCTTTAGCATTAACTAATACATGACGAAATGTTGTCTGAGCACAGCCGACAAATGTGAAGGCAGCATCAAACTCACTGATTCCTTCGGAGATAAAGTGAGTTTTTTTAGTGAGTCATTGAATTGTTCACTTAACTAATTTTCCCAAACTCATATTCTTTCAGAAAATAAGCAAGTTAGTGTCTGTTAGAGTGAGTTTTTAAGGCAAACGTTTTGTTTAGAAACACTGATTTATTTAAGATTGAAGTACAACAGTACTCTTGCATGATTGAATCTATAGCATTACCTAATACTTTGACAACATGTTATTAGTGCACTGCCTATATAGCCAATAGATGTCAAGAAGGCTCACATTTAGGTTTGGAACTGTTTTAAGTAGGGTCTGTCTGTGGACTGCAAGACAAAGGCGTAACATGAAGTGGCATAACCTGTAGTAGGTTAGAGGCATAACTCAAAACTAAGTTGTCAGTAAGATGGCACTGTACATCAGTCACGTTTAGTTAGTTATGTCTACACCTACTCCACACCTAAACCCAACCATCACTGTTAATAACATCTTCACGTTTTCCAATCCTAAACTTAACCATCATGCTTATTAACGCATACACCTTCCCCAAACCTAAACTCAACCATCATAGATATTAAGGCATACACCTTCCCTAAACCTAAACTCAACCATCAGCGTTATTAAAGTCTACACCTACTCCAAGCATCACAATTATTAATGTCTACACCTTCCCCAACCATAAACCCAAGCATCACAGTTTTTAATGTACAGCTGCAAGTTTTGGATGCTTTCATACTTAATGCGCTTGCCATTGTACTGTTATTTGTAACCACAGAGGGCGACGGGGAGAAGGATAACTGTCATGGCAAAACAAATGAAGAAGTCAGCGAGCGGAGTTGCATGGTGGAGTTGCTAAATGAATGATTGTAATAAGATATCAAATGAATTGGTTGTGGATAAATTTGGAGAAAACTCATGAAAATATTTGGTGAAAGCGTTCTGAGTTCCATCTTGCCAACAACATCTCATTGTGCCGTCTCGTACAGTACAATAGGATCTCGACTACTGCAAGTTAAGCCTCTCGTACTTGCTACAAGTTGTGCCCTTTCATGTTACGCTCCTGTCTTGCAATCCACAGACAGATATACTTGACAGTTACAGTTAATCTTTCTGCTGTGGCACTAGGTGTCACTGATTCATTTGTTAAATCAATTAGTTCAAACGCTGATCATAAGCTGCATCCTAAATGGCACAATATACACTATGTACTGATGCACTTACACACTCAACAGCATATAGTATACAGTATTTATGTTTGTAGTGTCGTCCCAAATGGAAAACTAATGTTTTTTTTTTACTAAGCAGTAATTCAAATCGATTTCCAGATGATGTTTGACGGTTGCCAAATTTGTAAAATAAATGACCAAACTACCAAATAATACCTGCCATGAATATAACCGCATTCATCATTGTAAGGCAGTATAATCATTCTCATAGGAGAATTTTGCTTTTACAATCTGAAATAAATAAAGTAATCCAGCTGCCATTGAGTGTGTGAAGTGCCCAACATTCCACACTTACCTTTCTACACTAACATTTACCAGTTAAATAAAAGCATCACCCGTGTAATTAAAGTGGACTTATTCTTCTTAGAGTTTTCAGTGTAAACACATCTACTTACACTAATGATGCATGGCATGGAATAATGCATAAGTATGCGATTTTGGGTGCACCAAACAAAAATAATTTATTCAAACTTACTGAATTCAAGATGAAATTAGTTCTTTTTGTGAGTCGTTGAATTACTCACTTAACCTATTTTCTCAAACTTAGATTCATTTAGAAAAAAGCAAGTGTTGGTTGAAATGCAAACATTTTGTTGGGAACCACTGATTTATTTAGGATTAAAGAACAACAGTACTCTTGAAATATTTTGTCTTTAGCATTGCCTAATACTTGACCAAATATTATTCGAGCACCGCCTATGTGGATAATAGATGTCAAGGCAGCTCACACTTAAGTTTTGGAACAGTTTGGAGCAGTTTCAGTTATTCTTTCTACTGTGCCACAAGATGTCACTGATTCATTAATTGAATCAATTCGTTCAAACACTGATCGTAGATTGAACTGAATTATTCAAACTCACTGAGTCATTCAGAGATGAAGTGAGTTCTTTTTTGAGTGAGTCGCTGAATTATTTACTCAACCAATTTTCTCAAACTCAGATTAATTCAGAAAACAAGTAAGAAAATGTCTGTTTGGGTGAGTTTTGCTTAGAAACACTAATTATTTTAGGAATGAAGAACAACAGTACGATTAAATGATTGCGATTTTAGCATTACCTAATACGTTGATGAAATGTTATTTGAGCACTGCCAATATAGCCAATAGATGTCAAGGCAGCTCACTTTTAGGTTTTGGAACAGCTCTATAGTATGAAACTAGATCTTACTATGGAGTCACAATAAATGAGCCCCAGAAGACCGTGACCTCTGGAACAATCTAGTTTAGTCTGTTTGTTTGTTCCATCTGATGTATTGCAAGTTTTTCATTCGGTGCCTGTCCTGAGAAGTCACGGTTAGAGTTCACAGCAGCCACAGATCCGAAAACAATTTAATCGCTTTTGACAGGGGTTCCGATACATGTCAGTTAGTATTGATTTACATGTCAACATGCGTCTCGGCACAGGGGTGGTTTGGCCACAGAGACACGGCTTATTAAGAACATTTGACAATCCAACATTAAAACGTAAGATTCGATTTTGTTCTGAAAAGTTCAAAGCACTTAATTTAATGTTTTAAATCGTGTTTATAAATATGAGATAAAACAACATGTGCTGTTATGTCTAGAACGGATGGTGAATGCTTGAAAGCCACTACATTTAATCTTTTCAAGACATTTTTGATTATTATGATTCTGACTTATGTTCCTTTTTAGGATATGCCAAAGTTTTTGTTTTATTTTACGTTGCACTCTTCAGCTGAATTTTCCCCCTTACAGGCATATTGTGGTCTGTGGTCATATCACGCTCGAAAGTGTTTCCAACTTCCTTAAAGACTTCCTACACAAGGACAGGGATGATGTCAATGTAGAAATTGTTTTTCTTCATAAGTGAGTACAAGTCCCTTTGGAATACATTTTATAAGCTTGATGGAACCTTTCCTTACATTAAATAATATAATGACTGTTACTAAGGAAAACAAATAAATCAAATATAGTTGCCTGTTTTTATATAATAAGGAGCTTAACCAGTGAGCTCTTTTTTTAAATTCTTTTGTTAGCTGCTTGCAGAGATCAAATGTCACATTGTTTTCAAAATCATTTCATTATACATGCTTTTTGTTTTTGCAATTCTCTAGTATTTCCCCTAATCTTGAGCTGGAAGCCTTGTTCAAACGTCACTTCACTCAGGTGGAATTCTATCAAGGATCGGTCCTCAACCCACATGATCTAGCAAGAGTGAAGGTAACGTCATCAAATACTTCTCACAAATGTGTTTTGACAATTTAATTATGAACATTGATGCTTTATCCTGGTACTGGTGTCTCATAACAACAAGTTAAACAATAAACATTTTTGTTAAACATTCAAATGCATACAAATGCTTGAAAGCAAAGACAAAAATAAAAAGAAATTATAAACCACATTTAGAAAGAAATTTAATCTCTGAGTACCCTCAAAAAAATCCAGAGGGAGGACGAAACGTACCAAAACACCTCAGATCTTTGATGTAAATCATAGGTTGATTTTTCCAGTGGTAAGAGTCTGGTTGCCTGAGTCAGCCACATATTGACTAAAGGTATCTGAACAGTTGACCATAATAACGGTATACATTTTTTTGTACAAGTTTATACAATTGTAGTTTATACAAAAATTCAATTCACATTCTTTACCATGATCAAAACACAGTTCCACTGTACAATTCAGTCTTTCTCATTATTTTTTAAAGTATGTTGTGAAAATCTTTCCAGTATATTTTGATTTTGTCCCAATCCCAAAATACATACATCACTGTGCCAATGTCGGCTTTACATATGAAACATGGCTGAGAACAATTGGGAAATATTCTATAGAGGTTTTGAAGTACTTTTAGGATATATATTTAAGCAGACAGATAGCCACTTCTCATCACTAAAAATAAACTCCAAATCCTTTTCCCATATCACCCTTAAATAATCAAAGGTTAAAGGACCATTATTAGACAACAATGTAGATGATTCAAAAAATCTTTATAAAACCATATTGCATGAGTTATATACAGGTGAAGTCAGAATTATTACCCCCTCTGAATTATTAGCCCCCTGCTTATTTTTTTCCCCAGTTTCTGTTTTTCTACACATTTCTAAACATAATAGTTTTAGTAACTCATTTCTAATGACTGGTTTTATTTATCTTTGCCATGATGACAGTACATCATAATATTTCACTAGATATTTTTCAAGACACTTCTATACAGCCTAAAGGGATATTTAAAGGCTTAACTATGTTATTTAGGATAACTAGGCAGGTTTGAGTAATTAAGATAATTATTAAGATAATTATTGTATGATGATAGTGTGTTCTGCAGACTATCGAAAAACAAATTAGCTTAAGGGAGCTAATTATTTTGACCTTAAAATAGATTTTAAAAACTAATTTTATTTTAACCAAAATAAAACAAATAAGACTTTCTCCAGAAGAAGAAATATTATCAGACATACTGTAAAAATGTCCTTGCTCTGTAAAACATAATTTGGCAAATATTTAAAAATAATTTTTATTATTTTTATTTTAAAAATTTTCAATTAAAAGGGTGTCTAATAATTCTGATTTAAACTGTATATTCTGAAGCAGAGTATATGTTTATATAAAACATAAATTAGATATTTGAAAAAGAGCAGTGAACAGAGTTAGAGAATACTTTCAGGCACTTTTCAGTTATTGGTTATGACCTCCCAGTTGTGACCCTGCAAGATGGTGAACCATTCTTACATGACTGAAACCCTCTGTTGTCCAGATGAAGGCAAAAAGAAAAAAAACTGTTTCTAATCTGTGAAAGGCAGCCTCTGCAGGGAACAAGCCCTCATCAGCTGAAAGAGTCAACACCTGACTAACTTTAGTGGTGAAAATATGTTTCATTTTTTGGGGTTTGATGGGAAACATGCTTGTTTTCAAACTGGATAATGACTGAAAACAAAGATTGTAAATAAGTGAATGAGGAACCCCACTTAAAAATATTCTACAGTCACCAAACTGTGAAAATGACCAGAAGAATTAAAAGCCTGGGACACACAAATGAAACTTCAAAGAACTAGCTGCGATAAAAAATGACTGTGTTATCACCTCATGTTGGGTGTGTTTGGTCCCCTCAGGACGAAAAAAACTGCATCTGAACACACAGCGTTTACTTTGAATGACATCAGCACATCTGCGAACACAGGACTTCCACAGATGTGCTGATGTCATTCAAAGCAAAGACCATTTCACTTGCTGTAACCTTCAAAACAAATCTTGCAATCTTTTTGTGCTACAGTTATTGCTTTTCTCTAATTTTGATTACTGCCTTTTCAAAGTGCCTTTTGTTATTTTGTAAAAAAAATAATAATAATACAATAAAATAACTGTTTTAACTAGCATGGTTTTCCACTGCTAATCTTCCTACAAAATTTGAGCAATGAAGATTACATTATATCTTTAAAAAAATCAACTGTTCAATAGAATAATTTAATATCCCTCCCCTGCTGTCTAAAGGCACACTTATTTAAGCCATGAACGCGCGAATGTGCACTGAAAAGATGACAATCTGATGACAATAGACTCTATGGAAACATGCACCTTGTCCAGAGTAATTGCTGACAGGCCAGTGGGTGCAGTAATTATATATCCCCAAACTGACATTGGGGTTGGTTTTATACTTGCACATTCAGACATTCTCCTTAATATAATTTCAGAAAAGTATTGTTTGCAAATTCGAAATAGTAAAATCATACAGTGCATCTATAAAGTATGTATAGCGCTTTACGTTTTCCACATTTTTTAATGTTATAACATTAAAAATGTGGAAAAAGTTAAGCGCTATACATACTTTATGAATGCGTTGTATGATTTTACTATTTCGGTATACCGCCTTATTCTAAAATGGATTAAATTCATTTATTTCCTCAAAATTTTACACTTAATATCTCCTAATGACAATGTGAAATAATAAATAATGTTTATATTTTCTTCATGATGTTTTCTTCTAGATATTTTCAATAAATAGGGTGTCCCGCCAAAGAGAAACAAAAAGAAATTTAAATATGTGAAATATTCAAAGACACAAAACTTTAAGGTGCAGTAGGGGATCTGCCAGAATGCTAGTGTTAGCATAATAGCTTAGAAATTGACAGCTGTCCATGCTGTCCGAAACCATGCCTCCTTAAGTCATGAACGCGCCCCTGATAGATGACGATCTGATTATGATAGACAACATTATATAAAACACTAGATCATGTCATTCACCAATTAGAAAACTCTATGGACACATGCACTTTGTCCAGCGTAGTGTTTGACAGGCCAGCGGGTGCAGGAATTTTATTTGCCCAGAACTGGCATTGGGGTAAAGTTGGTTATATATGCACAATTCAGTCTTTTCAATTTTCTTTTCATGGATACAAGGCCACATTGGTCTTTTAGAAAGACATTTTTAAAGTTGATGCAGAGTTTGCCTGATGTCTCTCTCTGTCAGCTGTCGGTGGCCATGCTTCATGTGTACACGCAAATAATGTGTCTATCTGTGTAAAGAAGCTGCGCAGAAATGCACATTTAAATTTGTTGCCCGACAGTTTAAGTTATCTGTCGTGATTGAGTTGTCTGGCTAACATTTCTTAATTGGATGAACATTTTTTGTCTTATGTCTTGCCCAGAATATAAAAAAAATACATATAAATATATTCAGATCGTTTACTTTAATCAGAATGTAAATATACTTTTAACCAGCGCAATAAAAAAAAAAAGAAGAGTGATATGGGATTCACAGGGGCCTTCATTCTCATGATTTTGAATATAGTCATTCATCTTAAAGTGGATTACCAGAGGACATGCATTTCAGTGATAAAATGTATTAAGTTTCTAGAAATGTTTTTAGAAATTTGTGGATAGAAAAAAATGATAGCCATTTACTAAAATAGCCACTAGTCACATTTGGCCTGTATTTATTAAAGCTTTTTACATTACGCTACTTCAGTATCTCAGAGTCATTCAGAAATTATTATTAAATGCTGGATTAATGCACAAATACGTTTTATACCCTTTCAAATATATATTTTGGTGCATGCTGTATAAGTGCAGAGCTCAGCACAATTTAATAGAGCCTATTTTGAAAATGAATATTTTGACCCATTGCTTATTGAATATAGGCAATGTATTTTGGTGCATTTAAACATAACAGATTTTTCTAAACAGATATATTTATGAAAATAGTATTTTATTCACCAAAGATATTGAGAAATTGAAAGATAAAACAGTTAAATTAAAGCAAAATATTGCAAAAAAAAAAAAAAAAATATATATATATATATATGTATATATATATATGTATATATATATATATATATATATATATATATACAAACTTTTTTTGCTTGATTTTTTCCTCTTTTTTAAAATTTGTATTTAAAATGTTTCTATAACATATAAATTTGGGTTCACTAGTTTTTGCACCTTTATCGTAAGTTATTTTGTTAGATAAGCTCCAGATTTGGCGTCAGTACTGACTAATCTAATGTATATGCACAAATATAATATTTTATAGCTTCCTATTACAAATATGACTTTAAAAGAGAGATTTGTGAATGGTGTACTTATATATGCTGAGCACTGTATGGACATTGCTTTACAATGCCCTTCATGGGTGAGCGGGGAGGTCTCTTTTGTCTCTCAATGTGTGAATTATTCATGACCATTGTCACTCACGCATAGAGCTAAGGCCCCGTTTACACTAATGCGTTTTAGTTTGAAAACGCATAAGTTTTGCTACGGTTACGCCATCCGTCCACACTACGCCGGAGTTCTTGAGCGCCGAAAACGGAGCGTTTCGAAAACGCTGGAGAGGCCGTTTTCATTCTAAAACGCTGCAGCTCCGTCTCAGTGTGGATGGGGAAAGACGGAGATATCTGAAAACGGAGGCGGGGCTGCAGACATTCGCCTCTCTGAATGGGGCTTTTCCTCAATATTAAGTAGCCTAACACACAGTTCAGTCCTGAATCTTCTCCGTGTAAGTTCAGACTTCGCAAGTTTGATCAAGGCTGCATCTCTTCTTCTCAGTTTGATATGGAAAACATACCGAGGACCAGCGTCAATCTTCACAGGGAACAGTGTACTTTATAACTTCATTCACATCACCTTGGCTACGTTGTTTCACTTTCTCAACAATAAAATGTAAACTTGATATAAGGAACTGCCTATTTTTATTTTAATATTAACAACTAAACAGACAGCAGAAATGT